GAATTTTTCTTCAATTAAAAAATTAGAATACTAGCAAAAATATGCTAATGAAAAAGATAAGCATAGAATAAATAAATAAATAAAATACAAAATATTGCATGGAATCAAAAGAAGTAAAGGTTCAGAACAGGAAATGAAATATAAATAATATAAAATAAAAAATAGATTTTTTGAAGAATAAAAATAAAAGAGAATTTAAAATAATAGAACTTATAATAAATTTAAAAAAATAATAAAAAAAGAAATTAAAAGGTAATCATGTTGTAATTACACCATGTAATTATCAGCTATTCACAAATCACAAACCCTCCCTGAGAATTAGAGAGTGCAGCTACCCTCGCTGACAATAACGTGTTGACCAAGCAATTGCATGACCAACCAAATATGATTGATAGTGTAATTACACCAAATTCAATTATTAGAGTGACTTTCCAAACATGTCCTAAAAAGAATTTAGTTGGGGACAAGTACTTTGTTTCCCAAAGAGAAGAAGAACATGTTTTGATGCTTATTTGAAGTGTTTTTAAGGCAAAATAGTTTTAAATGACTTTATTAAATTTATGTAAAATAAAAAATATTTTAAAATTTAAAAGGTAAAAGTAGACCAAAAATTATAAATTACAATTACTAACTTATGACTATAAGCCCATCCAAATAAGTTTTGTACTCTAACTTGGGCAATTATTTTTTGGAAAAATTATAGAAATCCCACCTTTTAGTTTACTTATTACCATTATCCCTTATAAGTTTTACAAATCTCCAAAATCCCTTATTTTAGCGCATCAGATTAGTGTATCAGCGCTTATATTATTGTATCTCACGCATCAGATTAATATATCATAGCTATATAAGTGCTGATACATGCGCGAGATACAATAATATAAGCGCTAATACATGCGCGAGATACAATAATATAAGCGCTAATACATGCGCGAGATACAATAATATAAGCGCTAATACATGCGCGAGATACAATAATATAAGCGCTAATACATGCGCGAGATACAATAATATAAGCGCTAATACATGCGCGAGATACAATAATATAAGCGCTAATACATGCGCGAGATACAATACTATAAGCGTTGATACACTAATCTGATGCACGAAAATGAGGGATTTCTGTAATTATAAACGTTTAAAGGATAAATTGTAATTTTGCCTTATAAGTATGTAATTTCTGTAATTTGCCCTTATTTTTTTTGAAACTAAGCATATGCTCTATAAAAGCAAACTAATTACAAACATATACCCTTTTACATTTATGCCCCTAAATAACTACAATAAATACCCCTTTTCCTTGTAATTTTAGTTATTTAGGTCATTGTTAATTCTTTTGTTTTTTATTTCTTTACTTTTTTTCTTTTTTTCTTTTTTATGTTTCTTTGTTCATTTAAATTTCTTAATAATTATTTTTTCCTTTATTTCTTTAAGCTATAATCTAATTTATACTAAATATTTATTTCATACACTTCCTTTCTTCTTCTTTTATTCTCTCGTTTATTTCTTCATTCTTTTTTTTTCTCTATTTCTTTTTTTCGCATTTTTTTATTTTTATGTATTTTTGTTCATTTATTTTTTCCAAATTACTTTATCTTGTATTTTCTTTTTACTCAATAATCTAATTCATGCTCATTTTTATTTTATATACTGCTTTTTTTTCTTTTATTTTTTTTATTTTTTCTCATATATTTCTTTATTTATTTATTTATTTTCTCTATTTCTTTGTTTCCTTCTTTTATTTTTCTCATTTTTCCCCTTTTTTCTTTTATTGGTTCCTATTATTATTATTTTATTATTCTTTATTTTTTATTTTCTTTATTTTATGTTCCTTTGCTTTTCTTTTCTCCTTTTTTTTTTAATTATTTTTTATTCTTTATTTATTTTCTTCCCTTTTCATTCATTTTTTTTTTCTCAAATCATAATATTCTTTATTTTTTCACCAAAATATAATTTCATTTTTTTGGTCCTTTTTTATTTCAGTTAATTTTCTTTTCATTTTTTTATTTGCTTGGTCTGTAATGATACTATCACTGTTAGAGCAGTCAAAACGGGCCTAGTCCATGGGGCCGGCCCAATCCAATCATTATTGGAGTAGGGTTGAGATAGATTTTTGAGCCTATTTAAAACTAGTGCTTATAAGTCCAGTCCATATAAGCCCTTGGCCCTTGAGGCTTTATCGAGGTCGGCCCATGGGCCAAAACTTTTTATTTAAGGGTAACTAACAATAATCTCACTAGTATATAATCTAATTACTTAAATACACATTATGTTGTAATATTATGAATCTTAGTAGATTTTGGTACGTTCAAATACATATATCTCGGAATAAATAGACTCAAAATCAAGTTCATTTGTTCTCGATACACTCTATCCAAGTAGATTCACATGTATCTAGGATACAGGACAAATATCGCGTACTCGCCTCCCTCCCATCTTGCTTGTCACTCTCTTATCTCGCTCGCGTATCTGATATGCGAGATACATGTTAATTACACTAGATTTTTTGCTAATGTTATTGAAACAACACCATTGTTTGCCATATCCGACCCTTTTTGACAGCTCTAATCACAATCTATTTATACACTTTCATGGATCATTGATGTATGCTTCAATACGTTAGTGAAACCTCCATGATACGATCACATTATATTTATATACTAATATGGTATCATTGAGATTTGATTCAATCCGTAATGATACCACCCACAGTATATCTATATATATTCATGGTATAATTGATGTGTCTTTCAATCATTTAGTGACACCTCCATGATACCATCATATATGGACATAGTATCATTAAATATTGTTTCATATAATTAGTAACACTTCTCAGATCATGTATGATACCATTAGAATATTTGAATATACTATTGTGGTAGTACAAGAGTTTTATTTCTTCGTTCATTCACAATACTACTCATTTATTAATGATACTTTAACAGTATATACATATATCGTTATGGTATCATTAAGGTTTCATACATTCATTCATATACAACCAACATATATAATGTGTTGGTATTATCAACTAATAAACAGTCTTTCAAGGGAGGAACTCATATTTATCAATGATATCATCATAACTATCACATACAAACATGGTATCATTAAGGACTATTTTATAGAATTTGTAACACTCTTCAGATCAAGTATGATACCATCATTATATATAAGTATACTATTGTGGTAGCACTAAGGTATCATTCATTCATTTATTTACAAAACTAATAGTTCCTTAATGAAACCATAACATTATGAGCAGTCCTTCAACGGAGAAACTCGTAGTTTCTCAATAATACCATCACAAAATACATATACTGGCATGTTATCATTAGGAATTGTTTCATACAATCAGTACCATTCCTCAAATTATGTATGATATTATCACAACATATCTATGTATGTTCATGGTTAATTAAGGTTTACTCTAGTCCTTCGATGAAACCTTCATGATACTATGACAATATATCTATATACTTTCATTGTATCATTGATGTTTACTTCAATTTTTCAATGAAACTTTCATATGTCATCAAAATATATCTATTTATTATCATGAATGATTCGTGAGGATTGCTTCAATCCTGTTTTGAGACCTTCATGAAGTCGTTGCATTGTAGTTATGCACATACTTTTATGGTATCATTGAGGTTTGCTTAAGTCCCCAATAAAATCAGTCACAATAAATTTATATACTCTCATGGTATCATAAAGGTTTGATCTAGTCCTTTAATGAGACATTCCTTAGTCATGATTAATTATTTATTATTGTGATTTATTTATTATTTTATTTTTATTAATCTAAAAATAATTAAATAATAATAATTTTATATTTTTCTATCTTAGATTTTGATAAGCAAGCTAGTTGACTATGCTATTTTTCTAATTTATTTATTATTGTAGTTTAGTTATTTTGCTATATTTTTAATTAATCTAAAATTAGATCATTAATATTTGAAATTCTTATATTAATTTTATTTTCTTAAAAAGGTAAAAATATCTATAGAGAGAAAAAATTAAAGAAGATAAACTAACAAAAAATAAGAAAGAAAGAATAATAAAAATATTATCAAATGATATCTCTAAAAATGGATAAAATGAAAACAAATGAGAAAAAATAAAAGAGAAAATTAAAATAATATATGAGAAAGAACAAAATTAATGAACAAAAAAATTATTTTATTTTTCTAAAAAGGTAAAATATAGAAAATGAAAAAAAAAAGGTAAACTAATAAAAAAATAAAAGTAACGAAAATGTTACCAAATGGCATCTCTAATAAACGGTAATATTAATAAAACAATAAAAATCATAAATGAGAAAAGAATAAAAGAGAGAAATAAATAATAAATATAAGAAAAGAACAAAAGTAATTTATTTTCTTTTCTTTTAAAGGTAAAAAATATAGAAAGAGAGAAAAAAATTAAAAGAAGATAAACTAACCAAGAAAGAAAGAATACAAATATTATCAAATAGTATTTCTAAAAATGGATAAAAAAAAATTAATAAAAAAAATACAAAATAAAATAAAAATAATAAATGAGAAAGAACACATATAATTAATGATAGGACAAAAACAAAAAAAATTAATAATAAGACAAAATACTTGACCAAAGTGAATTGAATCTAAATATAAATAGGAGTGGGATGAAATTAGGCTTAAACTAAAAGGGGTATGAACTGTATTTCTTTCTGACAGAATGACATTCCTGAATTACTTTAGATTTGACTATAAAATTATAATTCTTGAAAAGTGTAATAAGCAAATGACTATAATTAATCATAAGGATATATTAGAAATTAAGTGTAAAATTATCCATTGATTTTATAAAGTAGACAAATATTGTTAAACATCTATTTTTAGTATAGTAAATAAGTATTGATAGACCAAGGGAGTAATTCTAAATTATGTATTTTTGTTATCTTTTTTGTTTGGGTGGTGAGTTGAACAATTCTATTGGAGAATACGTGGCATTTAACTATTGTTTTTTTTTTAGAATTGAAAGAACTGGATAAAATTTGAGAAAGTTTGGAGCCACAAGTGAGTGATAAAGAGATTGTAGAATAGAGAATGTTGGGTAGATGATTGATGGCTGCAAGGATAACATTCCGGCCACCGGAGTTCACCAAAAAACACCATAAACCCCTCATTACTCTTACTAAAAGAATACCAACTTGTATATATTGCACAACCACAACAAAACCTGAAATTGAACTAGAGTTCATTGGGGTACGTACGTGCACAAGAATATTTAGGCCTTTCAACTTGTTTGTTTTGTTAATCAATATTACTTTGTTGCAGCCAAAGCCAGATGAAAATGGCAACTACCCTATGGATAAAACAAAAGCAGTAAGTGGTGAGAAGCTGCTGAGGAACATCATGTCAGAGAATAAGATAGAGTTGTATGCTGCATATGTGAGTGACTTCACTTTTCTATTCTTTTACTTTAATCTCACTCTACTACTAATTCATACCTGTAAATACAAAAACTAAATTTCATTTCATGAGTCCACGTTAAAATTATAACTTGGAATTGGCCGATCGAACAAAAGTAAAGTCAAGAGACGAATAAAAACTCTATCATAGAAATATCTTTTTTTTTCCTAAGTAAAAGTTGCAGGCAGAGCATAAGTTGTGTGTCTGGACAACACATTAAGTCGGAAGACAACATTAGAACCAATTCAATTTCAGAACCAAGCTAAAAATAAGAACCCGACGGCTGACATTATAAAACCAAACAGTTACCATGTGCAGCTACTCCTAATTTTCTTATTGAGATACGACACGACATGGTAACAAGTAACATGTTCAATTATTCCTAATTTTTTCATTGAGCCTAAAACAGGAGATGGTGACTATCAGTTGTCACAAAAGCTAGGACCATATAAAAAAGAATTAGGTGTACATATGCAGTTGTATGTTCAATTTCTACTGTAAATTTGTTAGAAAAATTATTGAATATAAGCTTGGAGGGGACAGCAAATCAACCCTTACCGAGAAGGTTCAAATCTTGAGATATGAATTTGCAAGTTACAGATAAGAAGTTGTAAACAAAGGCTAAGATCATTCATCAAGCAGCCTATTACAACACTTGCAAGTATTTAAAAGTATAATCAATTCAGGTGTGGTGTAAGTGATATATGTTATAATACTCGATTAGAACGATGAGAAAGCTCTCAACACTGAACAGTACTCTAGGGAGTGAGGACAATGATAAAAGATCTGCAAAAGAAAATTATGGAGAGTTTAACGAATACAAGAGCACTCTGAATCTTCAGAATTGAAATAAAAATAACTATCTTAAAGGAGGAGGATCTAGCTTTAGGGAATATAAGACAACTTTTAATAGATTCCTACCTTCGGTTAAAATATGTCTCCGCTCACACCTGAATGACTTATCTCCTTAAAATTGTTTCTCAGACTTACTCTGCGTTGGCCATTTCTAATAATTGGTATGGATAGAGTAATAGAATTTAATCAAAATTTCTGCCTCCTATCGAAGACAACATATACCACTACCAACATGAAGGAAACCAACTCCGGGAAAAAGCCCCTATTGTATGAGGCTGGTGAGATCTGAATCATTAATTTCTGTCTCCTATCAAAGACAACATATACCATTAGCAACACGCGGATGTATCACCTACTTCATTGGAAGAGTTCTATCCCTCAACAGGAGCAAGAAAGGACTGGTTAGGCCCCTTCTATTCCGTTCTTTTTTCGTAGTGCATTGGAAACACTTAGCTTATCCTTATCTCTTTGACATAGTTATCTGAAGCACCCCATAGTGTTGATTACAAATCAACTTCTTCTTTCTCTAAGCTGTAGAAAAACTATTCATATCACCTTATTATAACTGGTCTCTCATGGTTTAACGAATAAGAAGACTAATATATGATATATTTTTTTTACCAATTGGCTAGCCACTTGTTCTTATCAAATATAAACACGACAATAGTCTAACGTATAAAGTAATTCATGCCATGTTTCCATGATAAAACACCAGCCTTTACTACTTTAGAATCTTCCTAAGAAATTACAATGTAGTAACAGCCATTTTAGATATTAAACGTGAAAAGATGCATTCATAAGTAGGCAAGCACAAAGGATACTTAATGCCTATGCTCTTCATGTGTTTATAACTGCTTTAAAGAATAGGAAGGAATATATATTTGAGATAAAAAGCGTGAAGATTAATTGATTGTGTAGGAGGGACACAGTGTGCGACATGAGATTTACAACTAATGAAACACATAACTTATAAATCATGTGGATCAACTGTTAAGACTATGAAACAAAATTATGAATTAATCGTTGTCTAATTTAGAATCTTCACCAGACAATCAAAATAGGAGCATGATTTTGGAATCGTTTTAGTAATATAAATATTAATATTCCCATCTATGGTACTGTAATTCAGAGCACTGCTACAGAAGTAACAGAGAAGGTTTCAACTTTCTAGCGAAAATTGTAGTACATCAAATTATTTGCTCTATGTATTTGTGGTTCAAAATGGATCTGATATTTGGTAAACTACACATCAATAAACTATTACGCAAGTTGGTTCTATATGCATGAGTGACAGCTTTCTGTACCTCCAAAAGGTTAAAATAGATAGACCTTTCTTAGCTCAAATACACATCAACACGTATAGTCATCTTGTATTATACTGCAAAGGTGAGAATAATATTCAGTTTTCTACCAAAAACATGGATTTAAGAAGTTGAGTGTGCACTTTCAATGCAATAGTTGCCAATACTTGTTTTTCGATGACATGGAGTATTTGTCAATATTGTCGTTATAAAATAGTTGCTATCAAGTAAATATAAACTGAACTTGAAATAGTACAAAATTGTATCATATATATAGAATGATAATTAGGAAATCAAGGTGATAATCCCATCGGAACACACAGAACTTTGTAACAAACAAAGAGCAAATATCAGATATACTTATCAGAGGGAAAAGTTAACCAAAAATCAGTAGTTGAGAGCATAGTATAAAAATTTAGCATCATGGTGCTCCATCAACTTCCTTATAATTTTTGAAAACATTGTCACCGGCATACCATAAGAAAATATTAGAGATGCAAATGTATCAAACATCAGATTAATTATACAAAAAAATTAATTGACAACCAAATCCTTCATAACTGTACAACTCTATGTAGCAGAATTAAGTGAATGATTTTCAACCAATTAAAGAATCTCCAAAAAGTATTAATTTATGAAATAGGTCTAACTACAGTGACGCTTGGCAAAACTTACACGAATACACAGTTATAAGCATGATTAACATAGTATGTACCACTTGAAGAACTTACGGATTAATAAAAGAATCTCATGAATGATAACCCAAAAAAAAATGAAATCAGTCAGAACGTCAGAGTTGATTCATCTGAATGCCTCAGCCCAACGCAAAGAAAGGATGTGTACCTTTTTGTTCGAAGGGGCAAATCTTTGAGGAATTGGAATGAAACATCTGTCTCTGAATTTGGGCACAAAATGAATCTGTTGTTTCCATAAGGGAAGTTTTTCAAGTGGAAGATGAATATGCAACGCGTGGATCGTATTCCGTGGACGTTGAACCACGTGGCAAAGATACCGAGCTACCCTTTTGGTTGTCCGAAAAAACTCACCCTTATTAAGAATGATGATAACCGTAAAATAAATCTATATTTTAAATATTGTTTTCCTAAAAATATATAGAGCTGCTAGCTAATCATAATTGTATTTCCGACTAAAATGACCAGGGAAGTCGGATGACCAGGAAAGCTAACTAAGCAAAATTAGATAACTATTCAAAAACAAAACAAAGTTGAGTGACTTTAATGGTTAACTACTATAAGTTTTGAGTAACCATTCATGAATTCAACAAAATTGCTTGGGACTAGGTCAATCACAATAGCATTGTCTTCTTTCAATCTATAGATATAGACTAGTATGATGTAGATAGTAATGAAAATTTTGTAAACAATTAGGTGATTGAAATTGTATTTCATTTGTTACAAGCTTTGTTCATTTTACGACAGGACTCAACAATTACTAATCAACATCTTTTAAAATGTTTATAAGAATGTACAGATGCTTTATCAAAGATCAACAACTGCTTGAATACATCATCATCTTCTCCTCTATGATTTGTTTGCATAAGAATATGTTATAGCAAAGAAAGTAATGGGTTGAAATTTGAACATATAGGAAATATAATGCTATGGAATTTCAAGAAAATAAAAGATTCAGCTTTTTTCAATCTATATGTTTTATTGTTGCACCTGTTTTTGATCTTGAACAGTACTGCGTCTACCTTTTGGCAGGGAAAGGTGATGAATTGTGGAGGCGGTGGAAGCTGTGGTACTTGTATTGTGGAGGTATAAGTCTGTTGTTAGTAATCAGACATAATCAGCATTCTTTAGAAATTCTTTTTTCTTTTCACTAGACATTGAATTATGAAATACATCAACAGTTGGTAGCAGTATATCGACCATTTTACACACATTCATTAACTTGTAATAACCTACATAAACCATATCTTTGCTTAGAGTTACAACTTCGACACACTGTAAGTACAACGATAAACAAGGGAGGGAAATATATATATATATATATATATATATATATATA